CAGAGATTACTTGTTAACTTGCTGAAAGTCAGATTCACACTCAGTAGATGTGAAGTGGTTTTGTGATATTGTATTCGTAACATGCTTTCAGGGATGCTTTTGATGATCCTGAATTCTGGACACATTCTGAGTAGGAAAGAAAATAATACTACATACATGTTTAGTTGTGTTTGCTTCCTTTTTGTCAAGAAATGTTTCTATTTGAGAATGGTCCCTCACATATTTCATGATAATATCTCATTTTCCATGAACTGAGACTTCCTGAAACTCTTGCTATGGTTACAAGTTGCTAGTAGGAAGAGGCATGTGTGTACCTGGTCTTGGACAATGGCCTCAATGATATAGTCTGAGAGTTGGGTGGTGACTTCACTGGTCATCAGCTGTGGGCTCCCATCAGCATAGTCTCTTCAGGAAATACATTTCCCAGCACTCCTCTCCCTCTCTGCTTTCCTGTTTATATTCTGAATGAGATGGGACATCTTATAATCACATATAAGATTGGAAGGTGGAAGGAACTCAATCCTATCGATCCACAATATGCAAGGAACATGGACAGAGGTGAGAGTGTGGACAAGTGAGAACTCCATACACATCAATTGTCTTAAATTCTATGTTTAATATCAATCAGTAGCTGTACAAAATGATGTCCATTAAACATGCAAGGTTATAAACACAATTCATCTTTACCTATCATTCTGAACCATCATTCTGAACCATCCCTCCCAATCCAGCTCTGTTCTTCCATATAAATTTCCATGTGTAAGAATACATGTTAATTACTAAATGTGAATTTATGACTCTAATTATGTCTCTATGATATATGGAAGTCACTTCTGATTACTCTGATAAATATAGATATAATATGTGTGTAACTGTACCTAGTGCATGACTCCACAAGTGTCTTAATTCTTTTTTTTTTTTTTGTGTCGGTCGTGGGCCTTGAACTCTGGGTCTTAGCGCTGTCAGTCAGCTCTTCAGCTCATGGCTTGCGCCCTACCACTTGAGCTACAGCGCCACTTCCCACAAGTGTCTTAAATGTATTTGATTTATTCACATATATTTATTTCCATTCTACAGTTTGGATTTATTTGAACTAGGCCAGAAGCCAAGGGTGCTTTGAATATCTGCTCTAAGGTCAAGCTCCAGAAAAAAAAAATGTTCAGACCTTCCAAAACATGTTCAAACCTTCCAAAACATGATACAAAGTTTTAGTTAATTTTTTCTTGATATTTCCTGAAGTTATTTAAAAACTTATTTTTCCACTCTACTTTCTATGGTTTGGACAACAGTAGTGTAAAACAATAATATGTTACTCGGTATCAAAATAAAATAATTTTCTGAGAACTAGATTAAAATGATGGATATTTTAACCTGAAAGTTGAAATGAGTATTTAAAAAAACATTTGCTGAAAAAAATTCCCAGACAAGAAATTGATAAATGTTTAAATTACTAAACTCACATGTTTATTTCATTATTTAGCAAACATCATATTCTACTTCAAATAAAATTATTCCATGGTAATCTAAAATTGATTTCAAATAAATTTTAACGAAAATTTTTCTTCAAAAAATTGTTTTTAAAATGTTTTCACAAGGTATTTTTCCTTGCCTTTAAAAACTTGCCCTGACATATCTAGAATGGCTTCGTTATTGACTGACTGCAGAATTTTAGGACAGACTGGACCATGCATGAGTACAGAGCAGTGTTCTTTGTAAGCCACAGAAGAAGCAGTGGCAGGTGTGTGCTGCTTGGGGTGAGCAGGAGGACAGAAAGTTAAGGTATGCAATTGACTCCAGAACCTATCCAGGCACACAAAATAACACTGCTCCTCACAGTCAGAAACTCACACACAGGGAAAGTCCCTGCCAAAGTCAGAGTTCTCTTCATCATCCTTCACTAAATGAACTGCATGTGGATCTGGATTTGAGAGATTCACCAACTTCGACCCTTGTTATGATGTATCTGTGACCTGAAATATCACACTTCTGAAGCCAAAGGAAGCTATAATGAAACTGTAAAACTCATGCCTTTCTATTTACCAGCATTTAATGAGTAGAACTTTGAAGGTGGACCTGTCTTTTGATACACTCCTGGTACATATAACGTCCCCCCACACCTGGCTTTGAGACCAAGACATTTTAGGAATGGCTATGATTCAGGAGGAAAGAAGAGTGGATATGAGAGCGGAGATCAACCACTTCACAATTTGTGTAATAAGACTGTTATGCCCTGAGCCTCAGGTAGGAATCATGAACATAAAGATCTCTTGTGTACACAATACTAATGCTACTAGCACATGTGTTGAATAAAGCATTATTTACCATACCTAAGATACAGAACCAACCCAGATGCTCCTCAGTAGATGAATGGATCAAGAAAATGTGGTATATATACACAATGGAATTCTATGCCTCCATCAGAAAGAATGACATTGCCCCATTTGTTAGGAAATGTTAAGACTTGGAAAAAGTTTTATTAAGTGAAGTAAACCAAGCCCAAAGAAACATAGGTCCCATGGTTTCCCTTATTTGCAATATCTAGTATATGTATGAGTCAAGGCGAAAAGGTCAGATAAGGTGATATTAGGGAAAGGAACCCTAAGATACGTATTCAAATGTTTTTATTTCTTTCATGGATTGTTTCTAACACATTTATAAGGTTATTTCTTTGTTGCTTTGTATGTCCCTCCCCCACAGTATAACCACTGTTATCACTGTATTTGATTTCGGTATAATTTGTGGAGGGGAAGAGGAAAAACAAGTTGTTTAAATAAGGTGGACCAGATGCAGCAATGAGAAGTACAAGTTGTCATGTCGAAAACGAACTTTACAACTTTGGTGGGGGGTGGGGGAGGCTGGGAAAGGGATGGGAAGGGTAAACAAAGGAGGAGGCTACAATGGTTGATAAGAAATATACTCATTATCTTGCCTATGTAGTTGTAACCGCTCTGTACAGTATGTTCACAATTAAAAAATAAAGATTGTGGAATACTAAAAAAAAAGAAAAAGAAAAAGAAAATCAGGTCTACCTAAATCCACCTTAGGTTTTTCCTGCTCCTTCAAGTTGTGCTCATTGGATGGCTGGTCTTCAACCATGCATGTCTTGACTGACAGTGTGATCCTCTCCTTACTTTGGCTTAAGTTCTCTGGCTCTGAATGTCCTCCCTGTCTGTCCTCTAGTTCCCCAATAAAAATTAACCTGTCCTTTTCCATCTGCAAGATGTGTCTCAAGAAAGCATTTTGATCTGTGCCACTCTATTCCATGTATGTCTCTGCAGACTCAAGGTAAAATGCACATCCATAGACACAATCCAGCTGCTATCCTGTGAGCCTGAGGTCAAACAATGTGCCCTGGTGTCCCCGGCCTTGCATGCTTTATGGAGTGTGGCAGCTGTTAAGTTCCTTAATTCTCTGCTTCAGCATCCTCATTTGTGTAACCGTTACAGTAGTGTTGAACACTTTTCTGTATCTTTCTCTGGGATTTTAACTTCTCCCATCCATGGACCAATTTTTCCCTTGGCTATTTTCACTCATAGGATCATATATTTCATAATCCTTAGTATTTTCTTCAATGGCAACAAACCCCTGAAGTACATCTCCAACTCCTCAACACATTTCCTCCTACATCCACTGTTAAAACATTGCCTATAAAAGAGAGATGCCCTAAATTTGTCATTTTAACTTGCTCTTTTTTTTTGTGAACACACTGTACAGAGGGGTTACAATTACATGGGCAGGTTAATGCATACATTTCTTATCAAGCATTGCAGCCTCCTCCTTTGTTTACCCTTCACATCCCTTCCCAGCCTCCCCCCCCCCCACCCAATCCTCCCCGCCTTCCCCCACTACCCCCCCACCCCCCCACAACATTGTAAACCTCGTTTTCGACATGCCAACTTGTACTTCTCATTGTTGTAACAGGGCCACCTGTATCCTTAATTGACTTGTTTTTCCCCATCTCCTCTACAAGTTATACTGACATCAAATATAGTGAAAGCAGGGTTAACTTGCTGTTAATTCACCTTTTTGTATACCTTTTCCCTAATACTTAACTAATGATATTTAGTGAAAACTTCAATACCTACCATAGAAACTCTTTCAGAGTGAGTTTTTCCCTCAAGTTATTCCTTATGATTAGTTGGATATATTTCCAGGTAAAGTTATAATCAGTAGGACAATATTTTGTAAAATAGAAGAGTTCACCTATACATTGTTTAAAAAATTTGTTAAATCTTAAGAAGATACATAAATGACATAACATATAATAACAAAACAATGTGACAATAATACTTATTAGACAATATATTGGAAATGAACTTTACAACTTGGGCTTGGGGAGTAGTTGGCAAGGTAGACATTGGAGATAGTGAGGGAGAGGGGAACACTATTCAAAAAGAAATCTATTCATTACCTTACATTTGTAATTGTAACCCCTGTACATATCAACTTTACAAAAAATGTGAAAACAATAAAATAGGGAAAATCAGAAAAATCATAGACTAATATCTAATAATAAATCATATATACAAAATAACACATAATATATTTTATATAATATATATTTAATTATTATATACTGTATCTCATACATTAGGTATATATACATAAATATGATACATAAATTGTATGCATATGTTCACTTGTCAATCTGAGAATCAGAGGGCTTCTGACTTAAGGAAGATCTGCTTTATCTTGAGGTTTCTCCATTTTTCTTTTTATAAATAAAAGACGTCAGTGTTGTTCCTCTGACTGTCAAAGATTCCTTGATTCTTGAGATTAAAACAGAGAAGATTCAGTGAGCTAGGAACACTGCTGTGATTCTTGATGGGAACTGGTCTGGAGGACAGAGGGACTAAGCTCAAGAAACATCTCACCTTCAGTGAACCTTGCAGGGGAGAGCACAGAATGGCAACAGTGTTGTTTGTATTCAGTGTTTCTCTTGATAATTTCAGCTTGGTTGATAAGTGGAACTGTGATTTAGAAAATAGAAATAAACTAAATTTATCCTCCTTTCACCCCCCCCCCTTTCTCTCCTTCCACTCATCTCCATCTCCTACTTTGCTTTTCTCTCTCTCTCTCTCTCTCTCACATTCCTTATTTTTCTCAGGCAATGTTTGTTGATCAAGTCGAATATGTTCCACAAGTAGAAATCTCTTTTAAAATTAGATAACTGATCTCTGCATTTCATCATTCTGCTTGAGTTAAAGAGAAAAACTATAACTGTCTACATTTATGTGAAACAATATTTCTAATAGCATCAACAGCTATCCATTACGTATCAGCAGGTCAGGAATAATGGAAAATACCTGTTTTAATAAGTAGGCAAACTCTACAACAAACTTTGTACTCATTGATATGGTTATTTAGCATTTTACCACTCAAGCTGCATTAAACTATGAAATGTTCACTATTACTTTCAGTACCTAAAATTGTACTGAGGTTCTCCAAATGCAATAAGAAAAGCTAAAACTAATTGGAAAAAAAGCACAAAAGACCTGAAGCAGAAAAAGGAAGTGGCAAACTGTCTTTACTTGCTGATGAAATTCATGCATAAAGTATTGAAAATTCTCAAAATAAAAGTTTTGAAATAAATTGGAAGTGTCTTTGTGCACATTGTGAATATCTATTCAAGAATAAAATAACCTGGATAAAGTCAGAGTATTTCCATGTTTATAGTCTGGAATGTAATATTAATATTTCAACATTTAGCACAGTGCCAGTATCGCACATCTATAATTACACTTATTCCAAAGATTGAGATATAGAAGCTCACTGGTCCAGGTTAGCCTGGGCAGGATTCCTGTCCTATGATTCTAGGACAGCTCTGGCAAGAGGAAGCATGAAGAAAGCAGCTGGGACAGCCCAGGCTCACACTTCTGCTTCCTGGAGGTTTATGTTATGGCTTGTATCACTGTGGGTGGGTTATTATAATACTGTTGACAGTAATAATTAGCAATGTCTTCAGGCTGCAGGCTACTGATGGTGAGAGTGTACTCTGTCCCAGATCCACTGCCACTAAATCTGGAGGGGATGCCGGATTGTAAATACTTTGCATCATAGATCAGGAGCTTTGGAGCTCCCCCTGGTTTCTGCTGGTACCAGTTTAAGGCATTGCTAATGCCCTGACTGGCCCGGCAAGTGATGGAAACTCTGTCTCCAGGAGATGCAGACAAAGTGGATGGAGACTGAGTCATCTGGATGTCACATCTGGTACCTGGCATTGGAAAAGTAATAAATATACATAGAATCAAGCATATTATAAGAAAGCTTCATAAACAGCCAAGCATCACTGACTACAGCAAACTGAGGAGATCCTCAACGTAGTCTTTCCTTACCTGTAATCCAGAGCAGCAGGAACCCCAGGAAATGAGCAGGGGCCTTCATGTCCATGCTGTGTGCTGACTAGGACTGACTCCTGCACAGGATGTGAGCAGCTTTCAAGAACTGCTCAGGGTAGTGGGCTGTGTTCTGGGCACATGCAAATAAGTAGGGGTTGGAAGGGGCCAGCACAGCTGTACCAACATGCCATATTTCAGTATCTCAGTCAAGACATGATGTCCCAGATACAAAAAAACATACCAGGGTATTGTAATTAATGAAGTTTTCAGTGATTGAATTTAGAGTTTATGATATAAGCAAGCCCTGAAAGGATGACATGTAGCATAGTGAAGTGTGAAGTGGGACACCAGAGATGCAAAGCCCAGAGAAGACAAGGGAAAATGCCACAGGTGATAAATCCAGAGTACAATGAGGAAGGCTCCCACCTGGAGTCCAGCATGTGAGGAAGCTCTTTACCCTAGTGCTGGATGTCACAACTGAAAAGACACGGACAGGACATTTGCTTGACAATGAATCCACCATCTTATTGTGACTCCAAGCTGTTGCTGCAGGTGGACAAAGATAGCAATGCTCCCCCAAAGGCCAGTAGCTCACAGACCAGGCATTGCCAAAGTCAGAGTCCATCTGTACCAGGCCCTACATGACAGGTTCCTATAGCAACCCTGTTAACTGAAGTATTTCACACACTATTGGAGCAAAGCAGAGTATAGAAATAAATTCTTGTTTTCCTCTTCCCCCTCCACATAATGAATAGAGCTTTGATGCTGGACCTGGTTTATGGTAAACATGCACTCCTGGTGCAGACAAGGTCTCCTGATTATCATTCCTCTGACATGGGTTTGAGAGAAGAACAGTTAGAGGAATAGCTCTCAGTTGCAGGTGGAAGAGAAGTGGATATGAGGATGGAGTAAGAATCACCTGACTAATTGTGAAATAAGACAGTCAGTCCTGGGCTGGGAATGTGGCTTAGTGGTAGAGTGCTTGCCTAGTATGCATGAATTCCTCGGTTCAATTCCTCAGTACCACATACACAGAAAAAGCCAGAAGTGGTGCTGTGACTCAAGTGGTAGAGCACTAACCTTGAGCACAAAGAGCCTCAGGGATAGCATCCAGGCCCTGAGTTCAAGTACAGGACTGGAAAAAAAGACAGTCCCAGAGACCTAAGGTGGAGTAAGCCAGACCCAAGGAAATAAAAGTCCCATCGTTTCCTTCATTTACAATAACTAGTGTATGTATAGGACAATTTTATCAGATGAGCAGAAAAAGCTCAAAAGGTATGTACATATGACCATATAACATGATGCTAAGTGAAATGAACCCCAAGATATGGACACAAGAGGTCTTTCTTTATTGTTGTTATTTTTAATGTACTATGTGATTATTTTGTTTCCTCTGTATGTTCTTCCCCCTACAGTATATCCCCTGTTGTTACTGTACTTGATTTTGATACCCTGCATCTTGTATATACATTTGTCTAATTGGGGAGGGGAAGAGGATTAACAAAACTGTGAAACAAAGACATAGGATGACACACTGCAACATATCCACAAGAGAGTATATTGGATATGAACTTTATAACTTCAGGGAAGGTGGGGGTGGAGGGGTAAAGGGGAGGGGGAAGGGGTGAGGGTGGTGGGGGAGGAAAGGGATGGAAGGAGAATAACTAGGGAAAGTGTAACAATGCTTGACAGGAAATGTTCTCACTGGCTTCCTCATGTAAATGTAACCCTTCAGTACAGCATTTTTACAATAAAATAGAATTTACGAAAAATAATAGTTATTGGATCTAATAAACTAATCAGAGTGATCATGGCTGAAAAAAATGGACACAGGAAAAAAACGGCCTTTCTTACAGTCAATGAGCTCATAACATTTAAAAAATAAATTGGAGGTCTGGGAAGGTGGCTCAGTGGTAGTGTGCTTGCCTTGCATGCGTGAGGCCCTGGGTTCAATTCCTCAGCACCACATAAGCAGAAAAAAACAGAAGTGGAGCTGTGGCTCAAGTGGTAGAGGACTAGCCATGAGCTGAAGAACTGAGGGACAGTGCCCAGGCCCAAAGTTCAGGCCCCACAACCAACCAAAAGAAAATAAATTGGATAACAGCAGAGATGTTTACACCTAAATATGTGAATATAAAACTTCACGGAATTATTTTAAAATCTAATTAGTAAACCTACATTATTTCTCCATGATAATTGGGCATTAAATCACATATTTCTTTCTATTTGTCTATGTACAATGGAACAATGACTAATTTTCTGATGAGCAAAATGTGATCCTGTCAAGGTTTATAGCTCTTAGTGAGAACCTTACTTCATCTCATCCCAGGCTATATGTAGAGCACCCACACCAAGGAGTCCATATTTGAAATGTAGATTTCCCAGATTAAAACACAAGAGTAAATCCACTGTATTTTTCTCAATGCAATGGCTGAAATTTCACTGGACCTTCATCAAAACCTGCTGAAGAACAGGATGCTTTGTCAGAGCTACACAGACACATTATTTCCCCTTCCAGCAATCAAATATATGACAAAACAATTTCTATCTGCTACTCTAAACACTAAAATTGTGAAATGTTGTTATGGTTGTCCCAACGATTAATACTGTAATTATCCAATATGGAAACTTGGATTGAGGCAAAATGAAGAATCAGTAGAAATTATGTCATGAGCTCATAGAATCAAAATATAATCATGAAAACATTTGTCAGATATCAGTATCTCATGAATATATTCCTAACCATACAGGAGTATGGAGATCTCAAGGATCATGATCAAATCCCAACTAACATTCAAGAAGGTGGACTGAAAGTGTGGCTCATTTTATAGAGGACCAGACAAGCAAGGAAGCTGAACAAGCATGAGGATAAAAAGATAAATAATACAAACTAGGAAGGGATTGTGGGAGAACAATAAGAGAAAGGATAACAATGCTTGACAAGAAATGTACTCATTGATTTACTCATGTAAATATAACCCCGTTGTACAGCATCTTTATAATAAAATTAAATTTAAAAAATAAAAAATAGAAAGTACTATTTTTACAATGTAGCCTCTGACATGCTTCAAATTCCTAATCCTGTTTTTTTTGTTTTTTTTTTTGTCGAAGTAGGTGTCCCCAAGTGCCTAAGATCTGGCCACCATTAAGGAAAAGACTGAGGCAGGTGCACTGCCTTGTAATGTCCATTGTGTTGCAAAGTGCTATTGTTTGGGGACACGACACTGTCTGGCTGCTGCACATCCTGTGCCTTGGAAAACTACTTGTTGAGGAAACTCTTTACCATCCCTGGAGACCAATGTTGGCGAGTTAAGGAGCATGATTGGACCACAGGTTCTGCACACTGTCCTGTAGTCTCTGTCATCACACACAGCCCATCCCTTACTGTTTGAGAACAGATTAATTCACACAGAAACAGTTCCCTTCCAAGGCTGAAATGGATGTTCTTTCTGATGAAATGGGGAGTGTTTCCTTAATATAAAAGTGATGTCTAGTCACAAATCACACAACATTACTCCAAAATCTGTGTGGATGGAGTAGATCCTTGAATGTCAGGGCATGTAGAATTGTATCTGCCTGTTTTTTCTTAATAGCTTCTGAGTTTGAAATCTCTTATCTCCCAAGTAGACATTTCTTAACAGTCTTCTCTGCATCTGAATCCAGTTTAAAGATAGTATTTTGCTCTGTAGCTCACTCCTGTGCTCCATGATTAGCCAGCAAGAAGGGCTATGCATCCTATTCAGTGGTTGAAGACCTGTCTCTACTTTCAAGGAAAGAAGCAGCTAAACACCACATCTTGGAGTCCCAGTAAGGTGGCAGCAAAAGGTGAATATGAGTTTAAAATAACCCAATTGTCAATGTAATCCTCCAAACCTCACACCCTTGCATAGCTTAGGATAAAATGTACACACCGCTGTGTCCAGCTCTATCAGCTTAAAAGGGGTCTTGTGAACTTTTTAGTCCAGGATGGCCTTCAAACCACATATTCTCAACCCTCAGTTAGGTAGAATTTGAAGTGGGAGCCATTGATGTCTTTTAAAATTTTATTTTATTGCAAAGATGCTGTGTAGATGGGGTTATAGTTACATGAGTAATGTAATGAGTACATTTCTTGTCGAGCATTATTAGACTCTCCTTTGTTATTATCCACCTATCCTTTGAATGGAGTCTGAAAAATTTAGTCCATAAGTTGTAAAGAGAAAAATGTCTGTACATATATGACTTGAATGACCCCTAGTGTTTTGCTAGTGTAAGGACCAGATGATTGTTAATACCATTGAATTCAGGAAGCTCTAATGTCAAATTCCAGTTCTTCTCAATTAAAGTTAATAGGAATTGCCATTATCTTTAAATATTTCTCTAAACTAATTTACTCTCTTGACTGAAGTCTTCTTTATCTTACCATGGTGATGGAAGTATTCTTTTATTTTCATTATACCATGTAAATATTTGAAATGTCAAGCATTATTGAGAACTCATCATATAGCACTATTTTAAAAGAAATTAAATGAAAGGCATATATTTGCATTAGCTCCTACCAAATAAACAAGTCATATTTATTTTCAAATTCGGATGGTTATATTATCAGAATAATGTATTGATATATTGTTTGATTACATTTTTATTTTTGTGATGATCATAAAAATACTATCACTTTAAACCCTTATTGAAAGGGATTTTTAACCCCGTTACAATGCTGTCATCATGGAATTAGCAAATAAGTAATCTACCTATACAAACTATGTAAAGAATAAAATAAAGGTGTATATTAATGTCATCACAATAAAGCAGAAGAATAAAGACCAGGAAGTATAAGACATCATAGTAAACATCTTTCCTTCTATTTAGACTGATGGTCACTTTTTTATTTTTCCCCATTATTAGATAAATTTATATTCGACACAAGGTTACATTTGGTGTAGAAACTTCTGGGGGGTAAAGGTAAAAGGAATGAGCCACATCATAATCCAGTACAGACCCTGTTACAGAGTCAGTATCTGCTTTTGGATATTAGCTAATGACTGAGTGTGCAAGAAGGCTGCTGGTGGTTATGGAGAAAGATAGAATCTTGCACAGGCTCAGGTGTCTTTGCTTCCTATGGTTACACG